AGGCTACTATTTCGAACCTCCCACAAATGCACATCTGATTTTTTAAAAAGTTAGCTGTTCACAGGGTTGAGCAACTTGAAATGCAAAGCTACACACTCATTTAACACACATGCTTGCTGGAAAAGTTACATTTTTTGCGAAATTGCTCATATACAATATATACAATATACAGCAGTAATGCCATTTATTATATGCATATCTCACCATTTTTTCTTCAAGGAACTCAAGGCAATGTACATAATTCTCCTTTCAGTCTTAGCCTTACAACCATCCAGTGAGGCAGGTAGATTCAAAGTCTCCCAGTGAGCTTTATGGCCAAGTGGAGACTAAAACATTGATCTTCCAGATCAATTTGCTCAAAGGAATTATTGAAAGAGTAAAAAAAAAAACAAACCTGCATTCCAACAAGACAAATTTAAATTTTTATCAAAAATCAGTGCAACTAACATTGTTAACAACAATACAATTTAGGCTCTCAAAACTCATAGCAAGGTTTTTCTTTTAAAGATAATATAAAGCCACACATTGTCTTGGACAGACACTTTAAATTGTTGAAAGTATCTGAGAGTGTTAGAGAAGTCAAGAACAACAGCTGACAAAAATACAGTCAGAATCCTAAATGCAACGTTTCAGTGACTATCACACAGAGACCAAAATAACTATTACAATGGTCAGTGCAAAGAAATAGATGAGAACAACAAAATAGGAGAACAAGAGACTTTCCAGCTGTTCCAAGAAATCAAAAGGAAATTCAAAACTAGATCAGGAATGCTGAAAGATCCACAGGGGAACATACTAAATAAAAGTGGAAGAAATAGAAAGAACTATGTAGAATAGATAGAAAGTTCACAGAGTTCTTCAAAGAGGAATCCTATGAGGAAGGACCTGCTGTTGTGAAAATACCTGAAAGTAATAAAGCGCCCACTAAAGGGAAGATATCAAGAGAACTCTTGCAAACTGCAGAGACTGCATCAATTCAAAACCTGACCTAATATGCCAAGAAATATTGTGGGGCGGGGGGAGGACCAGTGGACCACATTTTGGAAGCTTTTGATATACATTCCAATACTCAAAAAAATATGATGGGAACAATTGAACACAAAAGGATAAGGAGACGACAGAAGTTGAGGTGGCTGAATTAGAACACTGGGGAGGTGGGTGTGGAATTTGGTTGAATCCAGGGGATGGTGGAGGACAGGAGAACCAGAAGGAATGTTCTCTATGAGGTCGTGCAAAGTCAGACATGACTTTGCAACTATACAACAACAAGCACCCAAGAAAACAGTTGCAAAGCACAGTGACTACAGGACCATTGGAGTAATTTCCCATGCAAGCAAAATTATGCTCATAAGTGTGGAAACAAAGAACTTTACCCTATATTGAGCAAGAAATGCCTGATGCTCAAACTAGATTCCAATAAGGAAGAGGCACTCAAGATCATATCACAAATAAACATTAGCTACTGGAGCACACCAAGAATTTCAGAAGATCAGTCTGTGCTTCATAGATTAAAGCAATGCCTTTGAATGTGTTTAACACAGGAAGCTGCAGATGGTTCTATAAAAATGGGGATGCCTCAGAATTTGATTATCCTGAATTCTGGACAACAGATTATTGTTACAGCAGAATAAAGAGAATGGTGTTGCACAGGGGTGTATTTTATTTCCGTATTTGTTCAATCCATAACTTAAGGAAAGCTGGATTAGGTTCAGAGGAAGAAAGAGTGAAACCTGGCAGAAGATACATCATTAATTTACAAGATGCAGATGATGCCATATTACTGTCAGAAAATAATAATGAACTGAAATGACTCCTGATGAAAGTGAAAGAAGTGCAAATGTAGGATTGTACCTGCATTTTAACCAAACAAAAATCATAACTACAGAAGAATAACATGGCATTTAGGTCAATAATGAAGAAACTTAAGTGTGAAAAGAACTGTATACCTTGGCTCAATTTAATTTAATCTCATTTTTTGACTGGGTAACTTCCCAAATGGACAAAAGGAACACTGTGGATGTAATCTACCTAAGCTTTCAACATAGTCCCCTATGACATGAAAATTAGCAAAAACTGGACTAAATGGAAAAACTATTAGGTAGATCCAAAAATGGCTGCTAAAGAGAATACAAAGAACACACATCAATGGCACCTTCTCAAACTGGAGGAAAGTAACTCATGGGGTATCACAGGGTTCAGTCCCAGGCCCAATGCTCTTCAACATTTAATGGTTTAGATGAGGAAGTACAAGGAAAGATAATCAAATTTGCAGATGACAGAAACATCCTAGAAGACAAATGAAGATAAACTTGAATGCCAGGCTGAAAGCAACAGAATGAGATTCAGTAAGGACAAGTACCAAGTCCTCCACACAGGAAAAAGAAACCAAATGCATTGATACAAGATGGGGAATACATGTCTTAACAGAACTGAAAAAGAAAAAGACCTTGAAGTTATTGGAACGATGGGGTAAATATGAGCCAACAATGTGATGTAGCTGCCAAAATGACAAATGCTATTTTGGGATGCATTAACAGAAGGATTACTTCTAAATCATAAGTAGCAGTTCCTCTACATTCCTCACTAGTTAGACTTCATCTGGAATACTGTGTCCAGTTCTGGGCACCAAGATTCTTATTAAGAAAGATGCAGAAAAATTAGAAAGGGTCCAGAGGAAGGCAACAAAACGATCCAGGGTTTGGAAGCACTGCCCTATGGGGAGAGACTGAAAGAACTGAGTATGTCCATTCTTAAGACTGAGGGGGGACATGATATTCCTCTACAAGTACCTCAAAAACTGTCACAAAGAGGAAGGTCAAGTTCTGTTCTCGCTGATACCAGAGTGTAGGGCGTAGAACAATCAATTCAAGTTGTGACAACCCAGATTCAGGATAGATATCAAGAAAAGTTTCCTCACTGTCAGAGCAATATGACAGTGGAACCAGTTGCTTAAAGCGGTCATGGGCTCTCCCACACTAGAGACATTCAAAAAGACACCGGACAGCCATCTGAGTGGGCTGGTGTAATGTGGTGTCCTCCAACAGCAGGGGGTTGGACCCGATAGACTTCACGGCCTCTTCCAACTCTACTATTCTATGATTCTATGTCATTAATTCAAACAGAGGTTGCAGCCAAGAATTTCAAAGACAACTGAGACTAGGAAAGAACTAGAAAAGATCAAGTGTAGGGACATTTCACTGGAGACCAAGGGCAAGGTTATCTACTCTAAGGTATTCTCTATGTATGGGTATGAAAGCTGGACAGTCAAGAAAGCTGACCGAAAAAAAATGATGCCTTTGAAACATGGTGCAGAGGAGAGCTTTCCAAAGACCCTGGATTGACAGAAAGATGAACAAGTTGGTTCTAGACTCTATCCAGCCAGAGCCTCCCCTGGAAGCAAAATGACAAAACTGAAGCTGTTGTACTTCAGGCATATCGTGAGAAAGCAAGACTCTCTGGAGAAGACAATCATACTAGGGAATGTTGAAGGCAGAAGAGGTTAAGAAAAATTCTATTAAGAAAGCCATAGCCTTGAGCAGGGATGTCAAGGTCAGAATAGTATGAAGGGCATTCATTAATAGGGTCATTGTAAGTCCCTATTAATAAATGATTTGAGGTTTGTAACAAGAAACACATTAACAATCACCATATTAAAAGGAGTTAATGGTAAAATATGAAAAAGATGGTTCAACAAACCAAATTCCTAAATAAATTACAATCTTTATATTTGGCTGCTTTAAAAATGTTATGGTTTTTAATACTTTTTTGAACGATTAACTGTCTTTATGACTTTAGTTTTCTCAGTGTTTGTAACCAACCTTCATGGTTTCTGCAAAAAGCTGTACTGGAATACAACAAACAAAGGCATTCCTTAATTTAAAACAAAAACCCTTTAAGGGCACAATCCTATGACCACTTAAGGGGTGTCTACATAGTCACAGAATAACTCAGCAATCCAGCTCAGAGAAACACTCCAAGGTTAGTGCTGGAACTCTGAGTTCAAAGCACCTTCCCTCCATCATTAGTGGCCACATGATTTTTTTCCCCAGTGGCTACAGTCTGATCACAAGATGAACCTTGGAACCAGCACTGGAGGATGTTCTAGGGATCAGCAAGGGGAAGTGCAAAACACCATCCATTATCCTACAAAGAATCCTGCTGATCCTCTCATGAGCCGCTTAGAATGCCAAAATAAACACCCTAAGTGTTTTGGCATTTAGGAGGGCAGGAGGAGCACCAAGACAATTCTCACTTCCATGTTCCATCCAGTGGATGCCCCTAGTCCTCTAGATTTGAAGGATTTCAGGCAAGCATATTTGGCAACACCCTTAAATAAGCAATTACTCAGTCTTCTCTAGGGAGGGAGTTCCAAACACTGAGCACAGCCACCAAAAAATATGGGGTATGTTACAACAAAGCCACACGCGTGTGCGTATCTGCTCCAGGAAGATTACTATCTAAGTGTTGATAGTGGGAAAAGCAACAAAGTGACCAAGAATGTTAGAACATATGAAAAGCCATGCAAACCAGCTGCCAAAGCACAATATTAGGATAATCGTCTCCTCCTGCCCAAGTTTCCCAGTAATTGATGTAAAGAGTATAGGCATATAGAGTATAGGCATACTACCTCTGATACTGGAGGTATCATATAGCTATCAAGATGACTAACAAAGAAGCTGTCCATCTTCTCTTAAAGCTGTCCCGATTGGAGGTCATTACTACATCTAGATATTTTATATTGTATTTATTAACTGTTCTTTACTGTCCAGACAGCTTCAGCTATTAGGCACTACAGAAACAAAATGAAATAATCTCTGAGAAGAGAATTCCATGTTCACCTACGCACTGTTGATAGTGGGAAAGGCAACAAAATAATAAATAATTACCTGGAGACCTTACCATGATAATCCATTAACAGGTTTCAAAAACACCCATTCTTAGAAATAATACTTTTAAATGCTTTACTAGCATTCCACTTTAAAAAAAAAATCATTTCTTACCTATGTGCAAGTGGTGAGGTTACTAAAGCAGACTCATCTCTAAAATGATGTTTCCAGGACTCATTCAGTTTAGAATCACTTGGTCCCAGTTCTCCCATGACCCAGTCAGGTAAATCTTCTGGGCTGCCACTCCATATCCTTGTTGAATTTGGTTCATCGAAATAAATTGACTACATTTAAAACATGGAACATTTTTAAAATATGCTGATTATTTACATTTCCAAGAATGATCCCTAGCTTCTTATAAACATCATGCATTTCCATATACTAGGTATCAAAACCTAAGTATTATCATAGAAACACATCCATCAACATTTAAACATACACAGCAAGGCGTTAATACTCCAGAAACTCTGTTCTCTTGTACAAACCTCTTGGATTGTGTTCAACACATTTCAGCTTCCTAGTTTTTGCTATGTTCTCTCTCTCTCTCTCTCTCTCTCTCTCGTCAGGCTCAGCTAATATAACATTTTCATATTTTTTTGGTCACCTCCAATTCTGGCACAGATAAAACTCCTTCCTTTTCATGGTAGACAGAAGAAATAGAATTCTACCGCCTTCTGAAGTGACATATTTTACTATGAACAGGTATCACCACTGTCTAACAATTCATGCTGATTATACCAAATGGCTGTGATCCAGAGGGAAACACCTGACTATGTTTTCTTCAACAATCCTCCAACTGCTCTTTTAACTTTCCCCAAGTATAAAAGCAGCTTGAATAGTTTCCAAAGAAATCAGAGCATGTGGATCCTATTTTTGTTTCTGTTTCATAGGGCTCATGCCAAACAGTTTGCCAAAACTAAATAGCAGCACATACTGATTTGTAATTTGTCCAAACACAATGCTGAAATAACACTACTCTTACAACCTACATAAATGCAAAGGATTGCATCCAATACTGTCTACCAAGAGAAAGGATTTCTTGTCCCCCACATGCTCGCCAAATTTGCTCTAAAGCGCTTGGGAACCTTCCAGAGCTCGTCTGGGGCCAGTGCAATGGACATCTGCTCATATGGTATTGGATGTAGCTCACAGTCAGCTGCCAAATCTCCCAAGGTGATAAACCTAAATTTCATCCAGAAATTTTATATTGACAATGGACAAATTAATCAAGGAGATTCGATATGCGTTTAGTTATGTTTACATGCATGGATATAGATTTCAAATGCATGCAACAAGCAAGTTAATTCAAAAGCTGGCAACAGAAATAAAACACCTACATAAAAGACATGCAACACAGTAGCATTTTCATTGTTAACACATCCATTCATCCCTCAACTGTTAAAACAAACCCAAAATACGAAGCATATTTTTATACATGCTTATCTTTGGCCTTGTAATTGTTTAGAAACTAATTGAAAACTGTTAGTTCTGCAACACTCCAGATGGAAATAACAAGTTTGTCTCACCCATTTATTCAATTTTTCACTTTGAGTAAAACTGTTGAAATATCTGCTACATATCTGCTGCGACCTGCCCTATATATGCTACCATCCTATCCTACTTGCCTGGGCCCAAGCCTTATCCTATAATATGGTGTTAGGCAAGTATGCAAGGCTACCTTTCAATACACATACAGGCCTAAATCCATCATTGCTTGAACAGACATCCCCTCATGTGACAGGTGCTCCCCTCCCCGCACCCCACCAAAGCCTCCTCCATGTCCTCCTCCAAGCTACTCTGGAACAGTGAGGGAAACCTGGCCTGCCAGTAGTGTCTGTTCTACTGACAGCAGAACATGAGTGGATAACAATCCTACGCACTTATATAGCATCTTAATTGTTTTTAGAATTTGTACACCATAAATTATTCTGAGTCACTGAACATCAGTTTCTGGACATCATTTTGAATGGGCTTTCAAAAGGGAAATTCATGAAATGAAAATCAAATATATTTCCACAGTCTGAAATATAAATGTTCAAACATTTAACCAGTTTAAACTAACAAGTATCTACCAACAATATGCTAAATTTGTTTAATATGGCAATATGATCTGTGCATATTCCTAGATATACTGTACATCACATACTAACTTGCCAACTACAGCATCAAATTTATTTATTTACCATGTATGAAGGAAGAGTTTTCAATATTCCTGTTTCTGGCTTATGTGTAAAAGGGCCCTCCAACACTCCCCTTTTCAGCATATGTAGAAGTAGTTTTGCATATAAGTTTCGGTTCTTCCTACCAACAATCCCTGTACCTGCACCCGAAGGCTCACAAAGTTTTTTAATCCAAAGGGCACATCTTTGACGTTCTGAGGGAGGGAAACGTATTTGAGACGGTATTAAATATAGGACACAGAAATTATAGCCATCAGAATATTTAGTTCCTTATCAGTAAATCATTTTGCAAATAAGTAAAAATGTTACATTTTATAAAACAAAGGTTTCAAAATAAAGCTTTATTACTTAAGTTAGCATTAGTGCACTCCTAAGCAGCCCAAGAATCTATAGAAACATTTCAAGACTGGTAGTCTTATCCTTAACACAAAGAAACTCACTTTAAAATTTGCAATAAGAAATACAGATTATAGATCACAGCTAATGAACTCCTCAAATAACACTGTTTTGTTTTTACCTACTGACTGTTCTTCCTGGTTGTTTTATTGTTCTTTTTATGAAATTTTAACTTTTTACTTCTAAACCACCCTGAGTGATGTTTTTATATCAGAAACTTGGGATATAAATAAAAATGAAATACTCCCCTTCAAATCTAATAATGCTGTTTATTTTGAAACACAATAATGAAATATTTTAAGGACACTAAAGTCAATATACTGATAAGATGCACATCCTCTCCATAATTAAGACCACAGTGTCATGTATATTATATAGGAAGCAAAACGATTTCAATTCTATGACTTTTGAAAATGCCTATCAAGTACTAAGTATATGGTCGTATACAAATATTTTCATTGGGGAATCAATTACCAACACTTAACAACATTAGAAGGGTGCTTTTTCTGCAATGAGATGCTGCAGATGTTGAGCAGGATGAAAAATTCTGAAGATGACCAGTGAGACATTTGTCAAACAATTATGCAGATTACATCCATATAACAAGGTCCTGCTGGTCCCTAATCTCTACACTTATAAAAATGCTTTTTTCATCCATTAAAAGCCATGTTATTAGCATGCTGAATGTTGATACGTTTAAGCAGTATCAAATGGAGAAATTTCTTCAAAAAACATTTCCAGTTTTATTAAACGGCATAATCGCAAACAAATCCTATTCTTTATTTTTTCATTATCTCATAATTAAACAGGAATTACTTTTACATAACATTATATTTACATCATTAAATTAAAAAAGATTAACATGGATAATCAGTATTAACAGAAATGCTTAAACAATAATCTACTAAAATCAATTTTAATAGCTTTACATGGGTTCAGTGCTATGGAAAAATTTGTTTCATATAGCATTTCATTCTATACTTTCATTGTCCCTGTGCTAGTCTGGCAATAGATGGTACCATGACTTACCCTCTATATACAGGTTTAGTGTCAGAGCACTTATCTGACACTAAACCATATCAAAAGAACCCATATCCAAAGAACTATTTACATTTATACTATGTGTGCAAACATCAATATTAGCATCCAACTACCTGCATCCTGGTGAGAGCTATTCGGCTGGTGGATACCAGGGACTTTTTCCTCAGTAGCTGCACAACTTTGGACTAATCTCCAGGAAACTGTGTTTGGCCTCTATGATGCTGGTCTTCAGGAGGACCCTAAAGAACTTTATTCCAATTAGGTGGTATAACCAACTTATCTGGTGCCACTATTTTAATGTTCTTTTATCTGCTATTTTTATGTGATTGTTTTATCAGATTTATGTCTACAAATATCTTATGTACTACAAATATGATTTTGCTGTATAATCTTACATGTGTTACTATTACTTTACTATTGTAAAGTGTCCTAGGAGAAAAGACAATTTATAAGTCCATTCAATAATATTCTTGGAACCAGAGTAATTTTTCACCCCTATATACCTTATCTCTTTATCAGCACACTTGTATGTTTTACCACTTCTGCACAATAAGCAAAAGGGCACTACACTTCCAGCCTTCATCACTGCCTTACAGCTCAAGAAGTTGTTTGGTTGTGAGGGAGGGGACTGCCTCTTGCACTACAATGTTGCCTGCATCGTGGGGCTTGAAAAGGTAGCCAGGGTGGCCATGAACTCCATGTACTTTGCTTTAAAGGCCCAGCTACATCACACAGAGCAGATGAGATGCTGTTGCTAAAGCAACCAGTAAGTTCAGATTCCTCAAATCTGCCATCACCTGAAGTCTCTATATTATAATAAACTTTCAGATTACATATGTCCACTTCTCTGAGATGTGATTGTTTTGTGTATAAGGTGAGTAATCTAAATCCAGCTGCACTGGTATATTTACTGCCCTTGGCTAATTGACAAGGGTAATCTGTGAATTTAGGAGACTAGCCAGTTGCCTAGAGATAAAGCATAGTACCCACAGCAAGCAAGCCATAAGTTATCAAAGCTCATTTTCCTCATGCTCTACTCACAGCATGGCAAAGATAAAAATTAGGATGGCAAGCCTAGTTGATTTTATTAGTTAATTTTATATACTAGATTCATCAGGAAAACTGGGATCAAAGAATTATCTGAAGCCAACCAATCTGGGTCCAAAACCTGGTTTGGGAGCATAAACAAGTTGCCCTGGTAGATGATGTCCCATGGAATGGACAGGAAAGCAATTACCTTAGTTACACCAAAAGCCTTTATTTTAAAGTCTCTTACAAGACCTTGTTTTAAAGTGGCTCCCAAACTAGCTGTCTGGTGTTCTCACAGAGTGCTTCTGTGAGACTTCTTCCCCTGGCAAGTGATAGTGCAAGGCCTCTTACTACCTGCTGAAACAGGTTCTGATGCAGCATCACCAGCACAGTTCTACCTTTGTTTTCCACATAGTAATCTCAAGGAGGCTATGGGAATAATGATTAAAGTAAAGGGCTGGGGGATAAATGAAGATGGAAGTTTAATCCAAAAAATTCAAGCAGGGAAATCTGATCTAGATAAAAGGATTTGGCTGTTATTGCATAGTATTACAATATCTCTGAAGCATCAAATTTGGGGATTTCTTTGGATTTGTCACCAATTGTGGAACAGGTGGTGATAGTAACCTAAAAAGCCCTTGTGCAACTTTGGTTCATATGTCAGCTGCCATCCTATTAAGAGAAAGCAGACTCACCAGAGTTATGTATGCCATATGCTCCCCAAACTGGTATCCTTCAGAACTTTCAGTCACTAGAGCTAACAGTCAGTTCTGGGAATTGACTTCCTCAACCTGGACGGACGGACTGACTGACTGACTATCTATCTAAAGATAGTATTGTGGTAATATGTTCTAACTGCTTGAGTTCAAAGGAGCTTCCTTTGAAGACAATGTGGACAGTTCAGCTAGTAAAGAATAGTGTCATTCACATCTTGCTGCAGCTAGGTGATCCAACCATATTGGATCAATTCAGTACCAGTTGCATTGGCTGCCAGTGCATTTCCAGACCCAGTTCAAGATGCTGGTGCTGATCTTTAAGGCCCTAAAATTCTTCTGGAAGATACAGTGGTACCTCAGCTCACAAACACCTTGGTTCACAAGCAAATTGGGTCGCGAACAAAAATTTCATGAAAATTTTGATGTGGGTCACGAACTCCGCATTGGGTGGCGACCAAGATTGCAGCCATCTCCTCCCCACCCCCCGAGTTCGTGTGTGATCATGGGCAGTTGAGTTTGTGCAGGGAAGATGTGTGTGATCACGGGCACGCTCCTACAGGAAAGAAGGGTGCAATCTCAGCCATCTCCCCCTCCCCAACCAGCACAATCGTGCCCATCTCTCCTTCCCCTAGCACACCACGTTCACACCCGTCTCTGTCCCCCAGCGCACCCCGTTCGCGCCCGTCTCTCTCCCCCAGTGAACCCGCAATCGCGCCCATCTCTCCCCCCCCACCCGCCAGGATGATGGGCGTATGCAGGGATGTTGGGCTCATGCAGGGATGACAGGCACGATCTCGGTCATGCTGGGGAGGGGGAGATGGCCACGATCTTTGTTGTTGTCACTTCGCTTCACATTTTTCTGATTTTAAAAAATGGTTACAGAACAGATTAACCTTATTTACACTGAACCTTATGGGGAAATTTAACTTGGCTCACGACCAATTTGGGTCACGGCTAGAGTCCTGGAACAGATTAAGTTCATGAGCCAAGGTATCACTGTATATGACTGGCACCCATCTGTGATTGCTTCTAGAAGGGCATTAAAAGAATACTTATTTGGATTTTTAATTGAAATGATTTTACAGCATTTGTTGCTGAAAATTGGCATGTTTATTTTAACATATTTATTTAATATATTTAAAATAGTTTAAATATAAGGTGCTTTCATAATTTAATAATGAATTGTGCAGCTTTATGATGTAAGCAACCTTGAGAAGATTGTGGTCCTGAAAGTCAGCTAACAAATATATATATTAAAGAAAATGCTGTTTATTTAGTTTATTGTGCTACTGTAAAATGAAAAGAAACTATAAAAGGGAGCATTTCCTTTCAATACTTACCTGATTTATGAGACAGTTTCAAAACGTATGGCTTCATGTCCACAACATAGTGATCAAATTCTGCATCCAGCTTCTCCCACGTTTCCTCTTCACTGCTCATTATGTTCATTCAATGTGCAATCTACAGATGTTTTTCAAAAGATCACTAAAAACACAACACAGAAAAACAGATCTAGACTACCATAAGTTGACAGGACACTAGCATTATAATTACATGCAGTTAACACAGCGTAAATCTGGAACACTACTGCTTCATATGGTCAGGTGAACACCAACACTAAAAAAGCTGCTGAAGTTATAAAACTCAAATTCATCCACTGCTGATAAAATTACTGAAAAGCTATGCCACATTATACTTCAGCAATTATGTTTAAGGTGGAAAGTTTTATTTCTTCAGGCTCTAATAACTTTTAACATCAAATACTCATTTTTTAATCTTTCCATTTATATTCTACAGTTTTCTTCCATCACAGAAATCAAGGTGTCAGACATGGAATTCGCAGGTCATATTCCATTCAGGAAAAGATCATATTCAAAACTGCTTAGCTTCATCAATGTAGCTAATGTATTACTAAATAGACAGGTGTAGTTCAATAACTACACACTCTAAGACTGTATCTATCCCACGATAAACTATCACTTTAAAGAGCTCCCTTAAAGCTCCCTAAGAGGCTGGCTAAGGATGCCATGATGCTTCTGACCTCCTTCCACATGGCCAGGGAGGGAGACCAGCAGGCAGGTGACTGCTCAGCACAGCAGTGGGAAATGCTGCCCAATTGTTCTGCTGTTGGAACTTGTTTCTTTGACAAGTTATGGGCCTTGTTACCATTGGAGTCTTTTTTTAATACTGTTATGTTTAACTGAATTTCATTCTTATAGTTAACAAACGTAAACCATGATCCTGAGAACAAGAAAGAAAAAGCTGAACCCGACAGTGCAATTTAATGTACATCTATCTGGAAGGAAGCCTACTAAGTTCAATGGGACTTACTCCCAGGAAAACGTGTATAAGATTTCTGCCTGTAAGAGTAATTTCTCACAAAACAGAATTAACTCCTACTGGATCCATTAACAGCAAGGCAAAGTACACCTATTCATGCATCTTTTGAAGGTCCACCTTAATGTTCAATTACTGTCAAAGTTTTAACACCTTTGAGAAAAAAATTATTTACTAGAGAGCATATAACTTTGTAACTTTTTACTACTGTAACCACTGTTATGAGTTGTTGTGAACAACTGAGTATTTCAGGTACTGGGCAGTAAAGAAACAAAATTAATAATACCTTTTCATTCAGAAAAAAACACTTACTTTCCATTGCATTCTATATACAGGAAGATTAAATTTGGTACTTGTGTTAGAGCTTTAATATGCACAGGTATTTACTATGCATATTTTTATAACTGTTCTGTTACCCAATAGAGCATCTAAGTAATAATCCTACTGGAGTTCTCAAACAATTAATCTATGAATAGAACATGGAAAGTTCAATACTAACCATTCTAGGGCTTTTAATTTCTTTCCTACCTACCCATACTGTATTTTATGTCTTTATTTTATTGGTGCATCTGTGTACTAAGGAAAGATTCATTTGCTGGAAAACTAGGTTCCAAATCTGTGTGCTAAGAAAACATTCCAAATCTTCAAAAAATAATTAACAAATCCGTGCTTCCTACTTCACAAGACAAGCTTTCAAATCAGAATCACCTACCACTTCTGTTAGTTAATACTGTTATTTATATCCAATATTCTAATTTAATTATTTTTCAGTTTCACTCGCACTGCTAAAAAGGTCATTAAGCCAAGCAGGGCCATACTATAGTCACAATTTATCCGAATTCTACAGTGGTGTGTTTACAAAGCTGTCTCCCACAAACTATCAGGAGCATACAGTAGAACTTCTGCGAACGAATATAGGGCTATTTTAGGATTTTCGGTACATTACTGGTACCTCTTCTCCATGCACAATCCTTAGCACAGGTATACAGAAAGAAGTTCCATTTAGTTTAATGGGATTTACTCCCAAGAAGGTGCAAATAGGATTGCTGTCTTTTTATAAGTCCCTTGCGCACGTTTACGTAAATATTTGTCCCACTAAGTTCAACCGGGCTAACGCCCACTTACGAGTATACAGGACGGGAGCGGTGAGGCCGTCTTACATATACTGAGAACTCTCCATCGAATGAAATGGGGTTTACTCCCAAGCCGGCGTGCAAACAAGGGTTACAGCCTTTTTCCCGCCTTACCCACGTTCATAACACTACAGTTCCCATTTACCTCGCGCGGTCCACGACGTCGAGGCTTTGGCACAGCTTCCCACACTACCAGAGGAAGGGACTGAAACAACACCCCCAACAGGGTGCAGTCACAGGAGATGCTACACAACTGGGGCGTGGAGTACCGAGTCGCCTTAGAGGATCCCCACCCCTCCGGGCCTTCCAGTGCTGCCCCCCTTCTTCCCACGCGGCGGGGCCAAGAGAAGCGATCGAGCCCACGGATGTCGCCGCCAGCCACAGGCTTCCCCTCAGGCCTAGCCAACTAACTGAGACGTGGTGGACGCGGCTGCGGCTGCTAGGCTCCCCAGTGAAGCGCAGCCAACGGTTCAAACCAACCCCGCCCCTTCGCGCCCGACTCCGCCAGCGTGGGCGGGGCAAATAGGCCAAGCGACTTCCGCTTCCGCCGGACGGGCTGCGTTAGGTCGCTAAGCGACACAGCTGGCGGTTGAGCGTGTTCGAAAAGTTTAGGCCTTGTTAGGGCGGTATCGGGGTGCTCTAATTAGGCAGGATAATAAGCTGAAAACTGACGGGGAGATAGGGCGAGGACTTACGCTGGGAGAGCAATACTAGAGGCTTGTTTGGGGCGATGATTAAGGGAAAAGGGGCTCGATCGGAATCCGCTGGAGTCAAAAGGGTCGTGCTATAAAGGGCGCTTGGGTGTTTGTAAGTGAAGAAATACTTTGGTGGTGGAAGATGAGGGGCTTTAGTTTAATTTTTCTGGTAGAGCTGCGAGCGAATAGGAAGGGGCACTATCGCTAGACAATAGTGACAGGCATGACACCAAGAGATTTCTCCTATATACGCACTCAACAGTTTTGGAATATGTTTCTAGTAATGGAGCAACTTTGTATTTTCATGGTTTCCTTTCTGTGATAAGAAAGGAAACATTCGAGAAGTAGAAGAGGAAAGAATCTCGTTGCAGCATAGATGGCTTTAACAGATGAAGGAGCTAATGTGGACACCACAAAGTAGGCATCCTTTGAGGGATAGTGTAGGGTCTTTAATTTTTCACATATGAAAATATTTTGCAGCATTGATCTGTACATCAGTCCTCAAATTAAGGGAGTTGCTAGGCACTTAAAATGCAGGGTTCACGACAATACTACTCAAATAGTTTTATAATTAGCTTGTACAAGTATATAGCTCCATACAAAGGAGTAATTTCAAAGGTTTATTTAAATTCCACAGAAAGCTAAGCTAATTTCTGATCCAGGTTACCACCATTAACTTTATAGGATATGGGAAAAGTGCAAGAAGGAGAGTAGATGGTAGGGTTTTTCCTTGAAGGGTTGCTATTGTTTGGATTGTCGTGAATGCACATGATCTGTATACCTTGCAAGGCGATGTAACAAAAGATATAACTATAAAGATACAGTTCTTCAACACAGATTGGGGTAAGCATCCTAAATAGGTGACAGAAATGTACATCAAAATAGGTTTTAAACAACCACAAAAGCATATTGTTCTACCAGGAGACTGTTCTCTTCAAGCTGCCTGTACATTTTCTGCCACAGCTGGCAATATCATTCAATAGGTCATAGCTAGATATGTCTGGGGCTATACCATGTTCTTTCATAGGGGCATATCAGGATGTAGCAGGCCTCTTAAGACCTTGCAGAGATAAATTGACTAGATAGTGCAGCTTTTTGAGAAAATACTAGGCAGTATAGCGATAGCTTTGTGAGGCATATAGCACAATACATTAAGGGCTTCATGCAGGTAAATTAAGAGAAAGATGAATCTGGGATTGGCTAGGCACCAGCCCTTCCCAGATCATCCTATATGTTTAATGCTAAGGAATGTAACAAGATATATTAGCACTTTCTGTAGCAAGACCCTTTGAAGCAAAGAACCACACCAGCTGCTCCCTGAGGTCAGAGAACTGGTCCAGTGGGTGGGAAGGAAAGGAGACTGAAGAGACCAGGATATTACTTATCCTGAGGATCTTTCACCATCCTTTGCCTTCTGATGTGCCTTAGTTAGGTGGGCAAAGAAACCCATTTCATGAGAAATGCATGGTGGGCATTGTGGGGGGGGGGGGTTGGGTAAAGATTACCACCTCTATTCTCTGCATAGAATCCTTAATGCCACCAAGTTTAGGGGCTTATCAATTAGGATACAATCAACAGGATTGTACCCTAAATATCTTGTGCACCAGGATATCATATGTCCTATCAGATCTCACCATTCCAATTCTGCTTTAAGTTGCTTTGAAGTATGGTGTCCCTATGACAGCACATAAGAAAAAGGGCACCCCCAAATTATTCCTACCCAGGCATCTCCAAAATGGTTTGGCATTAGTTTACCTAAGATCACAATCTACATATACATGGACAACCATTCTCAAGTATGATGCCTCGATACACTGGGAACATTGCATCATGAAATGCTTTTGACTATTCCAAAACATTACACAACTGTAAGTCTAATTCCTACATGATACGCTAGCATTTTATCCAACCCAGAGTTTTCAAGGGTGATGTCCATACACCATTACCATTTAGTTAAATATTTACCAATCTGTTGTTCCATTGTGCAGTCTCATAATTTTTTCTTAAGCTCTAACAGAGGTGAATGCCCCCTAAAAATGATCAAGTTCTCTTATTATAAGACAGAATGTGTTCATTTATGTGCTCCCCAGGATATTCACATTTCCTTTTTCAAATACACATGACCTTCCTATGGGTGGAACATGTTGCATTTTTTGTGGATTAACATGCCCACCCAAATACTGAGGCTAGTCCTTCACTTCCCTCACCCAGTTCTGGAATATTGACTTTGATACCTTGTTCTAAATTTTACTAACCTGGGGCAAAATACTTTTTTAGCCAATTTCAGATTTTCCTCTCATTTATCTTTAAATGCTATGGGACTTCTAATGTATTAGTAATAAATATGTTAGCCTATTTTATGTTATACTATGGGTTTATATAATAGCCCACCCATGTTTTGCTCCGCTGCGTGCCACTGATAACCAGGTATTTCGCAGTTCTTTTGGAAAAGGTTGGGATGTGTGGGAAAACTCCAAAAGAAATCTAGTGATGTTAGTGAGAATTACTAGAAGATGATTTGATGTTGAATAGATATTATCTGTGGGTGTAATGGAAAAGGGAGAGTTAAAAATTTTAATAATCTTTAATATTTATAGTTTTAATTATGCAGCCAGTGTGTTTCCAAGTTTTAATTGTAAATTGTAATTGTAAATGTTATTCTATTTGTTTTATTTATGTTGTGAGCCGTCCCGAGGCTGTGTAGCAATGGGGACGGCATATAAAAACTTTAAATAAATAAATTAAAATAAATTAAAAATCCTGCTTATCTCTGAGTATCCATCACAGTACTAAAGGTATTTTTCTTCTGAGTGTTACAGATGAAATAGAAACTTAGTACATACACTGTTGCACTGTGCAATGCCATGTTCTGTGATGATACATTGCACAAGAGGGAAACTGGATAAAATCCCATCCTTCAGCTCAGGCAGAGTCACAGTGACATCTCAAAGTAGTAGGCTGGGGGCTGGGGCCAGGGCAATAAGGTCCAAGCCTAATAATACCCTTCCTTCATTAGCATATAGATTCACTTTTGGTAGTTGCTGGGCCAAGGAACTAACATTCAGTTTTGGATTTAATTTATTATCAGGGTGCTAGCCAATTTCCAGAGAAGGGCAATTCTAAAAGAAAAGGAACAGAAGTATGATTTGACAGTTGCCTAACTCAAGAGAATGACACTCCTGAAGTCTCTGTGCTCACCATGAGCCAGCTTCAAAAGTAACCATCTGTACTAAACAGCTTAGCTGTTGTATACTGGCCCTCCAGAGGAATTTAGTCTGAAAATACAATTGTTGAATATGAACAAATCCCCAGTGCAATGCAGTTCACAATTTGAATTTTTAAAAATGTATTCATTTACATAGAATATAGCTTGCTGCTTTTAAAAAATCTAATTTTCCCATGCTCTTATCTTTGTGAGTACCTCAGCAGGTTGCCACAAGAAACATGAACACAGCTTGAGGCACTCTTTCCGTTGTATATAAAGAAAAGGCAAGCTTCATTCATCATAATAAGCTCTTGGAAACACATCTAAACACAGTAAAATATTTCAGGGCTTCCCTGCAAACCTTTCATGTTTGAAATGTGAGTCACAAAATAAATTCATTTCACAACTTCAAAGACATTAGGGAAATCATTTTTATTCTTTTTGCCAGAGGATAATAATTACAAAAATATCAACATTTTACTCCTGGGGAATTATCTTTTAAGTGCTTTAATGCATCCATCTTAAATTGGTAAGTAGAATTAATGACCCACCATTGGTGGGATGAGAAGAATTCAAAAAACTTGTTCAGAAAATCAATTATCATCAACATAACAAGAATTGAATCTTGCTGTGATATTAGAGCCGAATAGTATTTTGTAATATTGCATGCTATTCTATATATGTATTTCTTGATATATTCCCAATTTAGCAATATTTAGTAATAAGTGTTTTTCAGGTTTATCTGGTACACCAGTAAGCAAATGGCTTAACTAACAATTTGTTATGGCTCTTTTTTTTTTTCTTTTCAAAAACCAATTTGGGTTTAGAAAATAAGTATAGGCCTCAGGTGCAAACATAAGGATTTTATAGATAATTGGCATTGAAACCCTATGAAAGTTGCTGCTACTGAGACCAGTGTTTTTACATTTCTAATAACATGTCACAGTTTGAATTCATATTGTGATAGAAGTATGGAGAGACTAAGTTTACTTCCAATGAAGGAACCTCAATTTCTGTAACTAGACAACAGAAACTTCAGTTGTATTTTGCTGACAGGATGCAAGCAAAATAATTACAGGTCTCAAATAGGAAATAATTATCACATTTATTGTTCCCTGCAGTCTGAGGGCTGGATTGAGTTCAAGGAAGCTTACATATAGTTATGTTGAACCATTACTAATATCTGGACAACATTGTGTGGAAAGTAATTTTCATTACAGCAGGACCCCTATATCTGCTGGTTCAGTTATCACATTTGCACTTAGCTGCAGCTCATCTTGTTCAAAAGAGAAATCATAAAGTGTTTCCTTTAAGTGAAAATTTCCAATTTAATAGGGGAAAAATCATATGGTGAGGTTGCCAGGATGTATGGTAAGAATGCATCTTCTGTCCATGAAATTGTGGGGCTTGAAACCTATCCCTATGGATACAGGGGTCCTGCTGCATACTCATTCTCAAGTTGATTGGAATTATCTGTAAAATACCTAATAATGCAGTTGGTTGCAAGGGGACTCAGGAAATCTAGGTTCTAGTCTTCACCCAGTCATGAAGTTCACTGGGTGACTTAGGCCAGTCACTGAGCACAGACTCCTTTACAACATTATCTCACAAAGGATAAAAGGAAGATGAGAACTAAATAAATAACCTTGGGTTCTTTGCAAGAAGAAGAAAAAACATAATAGGAAAAAAGGTTAATTAAAAACCTCTCAAAATATTGAGAGAGGAAGCTTCCCATGGCACTTAAAAGTATAAATAATAAAACAGATCTGGATTTATTAGCCTACCTAAACATTCCAAAGCTGCAAGCAGGCATCCACAGGCAGCATATGGAGAAATGAAAAAAGCAAGTACAGAGTGGCCAAAGCACTGCTGGCTGGAAATCAGCAGTTGCTATGAGTAGGTAGACCTGGACAACTACAAGTGTAAGCAGGAATGCTGCTGCTGCAACCGCAGCCACTCTTTGCCCAGAATTCTATGGAAGAAACATGGAAACCATGCAGAAGTGTAGTTTCAAGGTTCACATATGAAAACAAGCCATGGTGAAGCACGGAAACCATAGAACAGACTGCTTTGTCTCTGGGGTTCCATTAAGTCCATTTGTACCACACCTAACCAGAATTCAGGCATATTGACAAGCCTTGCCACCACAGTTCCACCATGCCTTCTTGTTATTACATCCGATCATTATATGTCCTTATTGCCGCAGCCTACTGGGCACAGAAGCAAATATACACACGGCAGGAGAAGGGAGAACCAGCCACTCCTCTGAAAGTATTTGGGGGAGAAACGCATTCCATATGCCTAGCCTACCCTGGTTTATTGGCTGTTCCAGGACATGCCCACCATGCTCTCCAGGTATGGGCCAGTGAAGGAGGCAGTTCCTCTCAACAAGGTGAGGAGGGATAATGTCTGCCTAGGACTTACCAAAATATTTCCAATGTTCTTGAGGGGCAGGTGAAGGGAGAACTAAGGTCCTCAGGGAAATGACAAGACAGCCACCACAGAGTACTCGATGGAAAGAGACTGTCCATGTGCTAAAGGCATTAACCCTAGCATGAAGTTCTGCCCTCTCTAGGTAAACAACAGCAGAAGCTCCCCTCAACAAGGTAAGAAGGGGATATGTCTGGCTAGCAGTCTCCAAAATATTCTGAATCTCAGAAGAGCTCTTTTGCTTTGCACCTTTCTACAATGAATCTGTCCTCCTACAGCCGCTTCAGCAAGTGGGTTCACGTGGCAAACATAATTCCAGGAATGCTGCTGCTGTGCACAAGCCGTGCCCAATCAATTGTTCAATTTGATTTCCTTGGAAGTGAACTGATGTGCACATGCTCAGACTAATTATTCAATCAAGTGGATTTTCTTAGAAACACACAGAATGAGAGGGAGAGGCGGTAAGAGAATCACACTGTTGGCCTACAGGGCTTAACAAAGAGCACTGGACTAGGAAATTTCACTAACTTGGAGCCTTAGTTGAATAGAACCCTATTTGTGTTATGAAGTGGGTTACCAAGAAAGTTGAAACATACAAGAATCTGGGTACCACAAACTATGTGATTTTTAAATAAAACAATTTTAAATGCATAGTAGTATAATGTCAGTTGCATCAAAGTTGAAACTTAATTTGCACTGGTGGTTAAGTATTCAAAGTAAGTAGAATCTGATCCCATGAAAAAAGCCAGTTTCATTTGCCTTGTCTTTATTTCTTCCACTTAAGAATCACCTTACAGTCAAGTTTTCAGGGCAACAGTCATAATTAATTACTACATTGTCCAATAGCCAAAGCTCTCCTAATTAAACAGTAAAGCATCAGTTAAAGATGAATATTAAAACAGTAAGAAAACATACTCAGACAAAGGATACAGAACAAGCACAGCATGAAAGGGGATATCTTTTAAAAACTGTTTTAAAAGTATTAAAATACCTGTGAGAAAAATGTTTGTTTTCATTGTGCAACAACTAAAAATCAATGAAATTGGAGTCAGGCAGACTGCTTTAAGGAGGCATCCGGCAAAAATAGCCTGCTTATGAAGTACCACCTGGCAGATCTCAGTGTGCAGGTGCACAGAGACAGGCTTTAGCTCTCAAGGTATGAACAGGATCATATGGGAAGAGGTGGCCTTCCAAGAGGTTGTAAGCTAAAATCAGCATTTTGAATTGAACCTGAAAACAATCAGGAAGCCAGTGGAGATTACTCAACCCTGGTATAATAGTTATCCAGTTCCAATTAGTGCTTTTGTTGTCCTATTCTATATCATTCAAGTTTCTAGATTGCCTACCTGTTTCTAGACATCATGCAAGTGTACAATAAATCACAGTAATCTAGTTAAGAAATTATCAGAGCATGGATGGTTGTCACCAAGATATCCTCATCCAGGTCAGATCATATGGCCACCCCTGTAAGGAATCTGAGACAACTCTCAGACTGTTAGAGACCCCCTCAGGTGTTCCCTCCTTCCCAGATGTGCTCAGCCACAAGCAAACAAGTGGATGATCAAGCAACTTCACATCTCCAGGCCTTAATAATGGAAAGTCATCCATCCAAATAGATGGTGCTCTGGGTGCCTCTATAATATGAACAATTTATGTAAAAGTTCTTGTTACTGCATGTTAACTCTTACACACCCATACACCATAAGTAGTTTGATAACATGTCTCTTAAAAATATAACATGAGGAAAAGTAACCAAGAAATGTAGTTTAAACACAAATATGACATAGACACATTTTTAAAATGGCTTTTAGAATATGCTGGTAAGGTTATGCTCGCATTGCAGGCTGTTGTGCTCTAAGCAGGACTCTGATGTGCCATTTGCATTCATCTTCATCTAGGCATGGAGATTGCAGGCCTCATTCCGTGCCATCACATGGTGTTAAGTGTGCTGCCTCAGTTTTTATTAAGGATTGGAAAAACCCAAGCTCTGTTTAAAATGAGTTATAAGTCTAGGTAAGAATATGTTCTTGTTGCAAATATTGGCAATCTGTCATTAAATGGTAGCCATTGTATTCAATTCAGCAAAACTCAGAATACCAACCCAGGTCAGGCAAAATAAATTTATCTATTATAAATATATTTTTATAAATTATTTTCACACAAGTAAGCTAAGCATAATATAGTGGTATTTTATCATTTTCAAATAAAGTTGTACTTAAAAGGAGGCTGAACCTTAAATTAGGTGCCTAATTCAACTTGTATATGAATAAATTAGAATTATGATAATAGAATTACATAACTTTTGCCATCTGATTGTTTGTATATAATCTGAGGCATCAGTATATGTTCCAAAGAACACTGCTTTTCTGATACCAACTCTGAAGTGAAAAATCACCTTGCATTTATGAAGTCTATCTGGAAACAAAAACGCAATTTGGCAAGTCACCTACCTTCTTTCCTCATGTATCTTCCATCCATGATATTTACCAGGAAAAGACAGAGTTGCCTTCTGGCATATGGGAAATAATACCTGCTGCAGGCCTGAGCTTCTTGAAGCAAGGCAGTCGTCGTGAGCTGGAGTGGAGGCACCCCATTCACAAGCTACTTTACTGCAGCCTCAGCTCTTCGTGAATGTATTTATTTGTTTGTTGTTTTGACTTAATTGATTTATTACTGGCCTACATCCAGATGTCTCATGAAAATCCCTTTTACTCCCTGAAATAAGTTATTCTCTTTTTTGTGAGACACTCTGAATTCAGTGGATTTGTTTCAGAGGTGCATAAGAGGGCCCTTAATTCATTTAAAGCCAGGATCAGTTTCAGCACTAATAAAATCATCAGGTTGCTCAGGAGAGGAAAGCACTGGGGCGTTTGCCTTGCTTCTATTGTACAATGGGCCCAAAAGACCATACTCCCTCCCATTATATCAGGAGACATGAAGGCTTCAGTCTTATACAAAATAATTAAACAACCAGAGGCTGCTTGGTCTTTATAACACTTCAACTCATGATGAGTTCCTGTTTTCTATCATGCATTTTAACTATGTGATTTGTTAGGTATGTCTGAAAGGCAACACTTGCAATTACAGGATTTATTAGCTTGGCCTGACTTACTTTTCCAACATCTGGGTCTTCCTTGTCATAGGATATACTACTCTTGGCTAATGTTGTGAGCAGGTGGGATGGTGGGCTTTGGCAAGCATTCCCATAGGACACCAACCATGTCACAACTACATGGTTGATTCAGATTTGTAGGATGAATAACATTTCAGTGAAGTAGAGGAGCATGGGTTTGCTCAAGGTCCTGAGATGCAACAAAGCTCAGATTAGTAGATTAGCTCAGGGGAGGACTCTGCATTGTGCCAGAGAGACCCGGAAAAGGCATGGGTATGCAGCTTGCAGGCGGGGCCACTGAGAACAAGGAATCCCCAGATGCAGACCAGACCCCTCCTTTGGAGCTGAACCCTGTGACTAGGCACCAGCAGAGGCAAGAGGCCCAATTAGATGGGCAGTGTGTGGAAAAGAGGCGCGTCTGCTTTCAGAGATCTCCTCCTCATGAGTTGGGGCACAACCGCATTCATAAGGAGTGTTCTTGGAGGTATTCACTCAATTGGGTTCAACAAACTACTCTGGGCATGCTCAGAGTCATTCTGGGTGACTAGTACTGGAAGTAATAAAGAATGTTGGTAAGATAAATGGACTGAGTTTCTGTTTGAAAAAGGAGGAAACTTGGCTCAAGACAGCTGCTCAGACAAGCCATATCTATAAATGTTTTTGCAGAAAAATTATGCAGAGTTCTAAATAGGAATTGAATATGGAACTGAATTGTCTCATTTTTGTCAATCAGCAGATTGCCACTTTAGCATCTATACTTATCCAGATTGGCTGCATTTGATTCAGCAAAACTTTTTGTATATGTCTGTTAGATGGCTCACTATCTCTTGAATAGGGGGTTGCCTAATTTGGCTAATGTCTGGCAGTGCAGCTAATGCTTCTTTTAAAAAATGTTTTGGCAATGTGCAGTAGCAGCTTCTTTTTAGGAGATTACTATATGGATAAATTTGTACAGAAGCAGTCATGAATGTTTGTTGATGTATGCACTTTAAAATCAGCTATTTCTTGAAAATTAATGATCAATATAACATTCTCCATGCCCCTTTGACAGTCAAAGCACTGCCATTACAACATTGGAATGGTAAACATTCACCTCCTATAATGGAATGAGGACCTTACAGCACATTCACATTTTGAATCCAGGGCATATAGACATGTGCCAATGCATACTTATTTGAATATCTGATCTACTTTTGTTGAAGCTTATGTATAATTGTTAAAAAGTTGTATTTACATACATAGGGTGATGAATACTTAAGACCCCCCTTCTCCTCCATGTATTTTTGTTACAGACATATCCATCTTCCAGGAGAATACAGTGAGCAGAAATGCACCTGAGGGCAGTAGAGATCAAAGGCTAGAAGCAGCCACTTCTGCAGCCACTCTTGCAAGGAGACCTTATGGAATTTCTATACCAACTATGGTAAAATGGTGATTCTGGGTCTGGGCACCCAGAGAAGTTGCAGTGAACGGTAGAAACCTTAGAACAGATCATTGATTGTCTCCATAATTTTAGAAAACTAGTCCTACTGCACAGAAGTCTGGAACCTAGGTCCAGAGGATATGACTGAGCCACAGCAGTAAGATTTCACCATAGCTTCTTGTGTCGAGTGAACCCACCAAATGTGAGTTGCACTTCCCTTGTGAATATTACATTTTCACCAACTCATTTGGCATCACGGCCATTTAAAAGTGGTTATTTCATGTGTTCAGTTTACCAAACCAGAAAAACATGATCATACCTTTGAAACAGGCAGGGACTGAAAGGTGACCATCTATGCACTGAGTAGGTACTTTATAACTACACCCGTGCTCCTTATTTTTGCAGTAGAACCAAATAGTCTCAGCATGTTGTATTCCATTCTGGAAGTGACCTTGCACTGTCACCTTCCGCCCATTGTAAAGTACTGTTGCTCTTTTAACAGGTATTTCACATGGTGCTGCATGGGGGGGGGGGAATGCAAATAACATTATTGGATAAAGAAACATTTATTGATTACCGATACAGGAATCTACAGAAACACTATGGGGCAAATTATAATCACATTGTTCAAGCCATTGCTATATTACTAAGCCAAGGAAAACTGTGCTAGTGCAGGCTATTGATGAACAGAAACCTTCATTCGTAGAGATCACTAACCAAGTATCACCTGGATTGTCAAAAGTGTTCTGCCTCTCTAGAATGATTTGTGTGTTCTTAAGCAGCATGAAATGATAACCCCCTTTTTACTATGAAGAACTGTCACAATGTTTGTTCTGCACTATCAGGCCATCTCTGACTTACAGTGACCCTTTGAATCAATGCCTTCCAAACTGGCCTGTCCTTGATAGCCCTGCTCAGCTATTGTACAGTCAAGACTGTGGCTTTCTTTATAGAATTGATCCATCCTATATTTGGTCTTAAATGACTGATGTATCTTCTGCCAATTTTCACTCCATCCTCTGATCCGAATCCAGCTTTCCTTATTAGATGACCTGCATACAGATTGAACAGATAGGAAGCTAAGATGCAGGCTCGTCTGGCACCATTCTGTTTCTCTGTATTCTGTCCTAACGATAGCTTCTTGTCTGCAATTCAGGTTACAAATCAGGATAATCAAATGCTCAGGCACACCCATTTTTTCAGAACCATCCATAGTTTCTCGTGGTCCACTCAGTCAAAGGCTTAGCTGTAGTCTATAAAGCATAGACTGATCATCTGAAATTCTTTGGTGCATTCTGGTAGCCAATGTATATTTACAGTATGAGCTAGAGTTCCTCTTACTTCTAGGAATCTAACTTAAACATCATGTATTTCTTGCTTGAGAGAAGGTAAAATTATTTGAGCACCTGGAGCATCCTTTTGCTTGTATGGGAAATTAATGCAATGATCTTATACTTCTTGGGGACTGGACACACAGTACATGGAACATTTCCGGAGGGTGGGGGGCATTGTTTTGTTTTCCATATATGCTTGCATATTCTTGTTAGGATTCAGCCTCTACAGCTTGGAATAGTTCTGTTGATATCTTATCTGCCTCAGGGGCTTTTTCCCTTCAAAGTGCTTTCAGAGCGGCTTTTACTTTTCGTATGGCAGGTTCTTCATAGAATTCCTCTTGGATAGAGTCTGCCTTCCTTCTATCTTTTCTATATAGTTATTTTGTATACTCTTTTCACGTTCTCTTTATTTTCTCCTGATCGGATAGTATGTTCCCCTGTTATCTTTCAGCATTCCCGATCTAGGATTGAATTTCCCTTGGATTTCTTGGATCTTTTAGAAGACGTCTCTTGTTTTCCTCTTCTGTTGTTTTCTTCTATTTCTTTGCACTTGCCAGTGTAATACTATTTTTTGTCTCCAAGTAATAATCACTGAAAAGTTGTATTCAGGAGTCTAGCCCTCCTTCTTTCATCTTTTGCTTTTCACCTGTCCTTAGCAATTGTGTTTCTTCTGCCATGCATCTATATGCTCCCCCTGCTTTTTGCTACAGGATTTTTTCTCCATTCACCCCTGATATCTCTTCATGGTCCAGTTCATTGTCCTTTTGGTTCACAGTTAGCTGAGTTTGGGAATGCAAATCTGTTCTTTATGTGGACTTCACATTCCTCAGGAATATTATTAAGGTATTTTAGCACTATGCCCTTTCCTCTTTACTCTGATTTTTGATATTAACAGTTCATTGTCACTAGCAGAATTTGCTCCTGGTCTTTTTTTTTGGTAGTGAAAATAGGGCTTCTCATCTCTTACTTCCAATTTTGTAATCTGATTTCTGTATTTGACATCTGCTGATGTCTATCTGTACCATCATCTGATCAGGTGCCTGAAGCATGCATTTCCAATAAACAGATGGTTGGCTTCAAAGAATTCTATGAGTCATTCTTCTGCTTTATTTCTGACTGCTAGACCAAATTCTCCCACAGCATTGGATTCTGCTTTCTTTCTCCTGCACATGGTCCTGTCACCTATCAGCGTGACTTGTTTTAATGTGTTGCCAACTTCCTCTTGGGCTTCCACATAAAAGTTTTCAATTTCTTATTCTTCAGCATTTGTTGTTAGAGTGTAGACTTGAATTATGGTTATGTTGATAGGTTTTCCACAAATTCTGATGGATACGATTCAGTTGGACTTTGCATCCCCAACTGGCTGTGCTACATCTCACCTCAGAATTCAAGTCACTCTGATTCTTCTGAGTTTATTTCCAGAGTAAAACACTTCATGTATGTCTGACTGAATGTCCTATTCCATTCCACTATATATAGAATCATAGAATAGTAGAGTTGGAAGGTGCCAAAAGTTCATCAAGTCCAACCCTCTGCTAGTGCAGGACACCTAGTCACATGATCCTGCTTAGACAATGGAGCAAACACTTTTTGAATGTCTCCAGCAAGGGAGAGCCCACAACTTCTCCAGGTGAAATGTTCCATTGTAATACTGCTCTACAGATGTGTTGTGTTGTATTATGCCTGTAATGTAATTATTTAAAAGGCCCTAATACAGTGAATTTTGCCAAGCCCTTCTTAAAGCATCAGGACTTCTATTAGTCACAGCTAGCTCTGTCAAGATTAGAGCGGTAGTTATTCATGGGATTTTTTTTTTACTGTGATTTTTAAATTGTTATGGTAAGATAACATACATAACTTCTTAATCTATTAATTGACCAGATTTCCCAAGGAGCTGACACATAATGGATTCTTATACAACACAATAAAAACAACAACACTTATCTATATTTGTATTTTAGCACCACATATTATTTCATACCTGGATGTCTTTCTTATCATTGTGTGACTATATTGTAAAGATATCATAATTGTAGCATGCAACTATAGCATGTTTTTGACACCATCTAAAAATGCATTTATTTACTCAGACTTTCCTAAATGAGAGTATGCATTCTGTTCCCCTGCATAGCAATAGTTTTAATATTTGTATTTTTATAGTAATGTTTCAGCAAATATGCATTGTAATGCATACAAAGTATTTTCATGTTTCACAACTTCCACAAATGGCTAAAAATAGCAAATATGGAAAGTACCATGTTTATCAAGATATTAAGTAAGCAATAATAAATGTCCAGAATCTAGTTTATTCTTACAAATATTTCAGATGCTGAGTTATACCTCTGCAAGTTGGTTTTCCTGACCACTGGCCTGTTTTTTCACACCTGGATTGTGCAGGACCTTCTAGCACATATGGTGGATTACATCCGTAGCTCACAGTATCTTTATAGTCATAAGTTCTGCGAAGAGCAAAGTTTATAAATCCATTTTCTATTTCTTCTGGATAGGGGCACTGTACAACTGTGTTAGGAAAGATGCAAGAGAATATATGATGTAAGAACACAGAGTCCATCCCCAAAAAAGGGCTTAGTGTCCTACTGTCAAAGCCCTGATCCCTGGAAAGACCACAAAGGGTGTTTCTGGGATGATTAAGAGACAACCGACCCCTTTGCTCAAAGCAGGCTTTAAAGCAGCAGTACTGCATTTATGTTACTTACATCTGCATTCTGGTAGTTCACTCCAGTTCCCAGTGGCCAGACACGTAGCTGTTTCACTTCCAAACAGGGCAAGAGGTGATAAACATTCAAACATGATTACATCTTGAAAGACTGATATATTCCCTGGTTTCAATCTACGGTAAGTAAGTGCTTCATATGGAGAAATTGGAGGTGGAGGACAAATCACAGCTGGAAATGCAAAGCAAATTTATATCATACAATATCACCACCTTACTCTTTCAGCCAACATCATACAGTAGACTTTTGTCCCTTACAGAAATCAATATAAAGTGGTATGTGAGAGTATCTGCTAAATCTGTAAAAAGCTCTTAGCTGACTATGATCCATTAAAGTGGCTTGAAAAGATTCATTACACCTCTTAAAGTGTTTCATAAATATAGAAGGGTAGAATACAGCAAATGTCCACCAAGCTTTTATCCAAACTCTGCTGTAGTCCCTAATAAAATTTTATTTTTATCTTGAGTCTTGCCCATTGGAGAAGTGTGACAAAAATGTAGAAAATGCTGTTTGCTGATAGTTTAAAGATCAGTGGTAAAAGTAGTAGTTCAAGAATAAAAGGGGAAGAGGCCTAGAGATATTCAGTGTATCATTTACGGCAGAACAAGTTTGAGATAATGTTAACTCTTGCCTGGATTTACTCTGAGTTTGTATGAAAATCAACAAAGTGGCATCCACTGAATAGAAAGAAAAAGGCAGGAAAAAGTCCTAACCAGCCAAAACTTCTAGTCAGCCAAACAGTCAGCATCTCAAAATTTTCCACATGGAAGACACTGTTTTTTTTATTCTCAAGTCACCCCTGAGAAAAAAGCATAGTACTTGAACTTTTGGGGCAGTAAATTAGCATGTGCTACTTTGAGGTTTCCTAAACTTATATTCCTACATTTAGTATCTTCTTTCCTTCAGCCACCATCGCTACTTTCCTGGTCCTTAATAATTACAAAATTTGCAGCACAGCTTGGCGCGTGTAAACTATTCAATTGCAGCTGTAGTAAGAGATCGTTCACATTAATACATCTCAGAAAATTAATTGGAGTGTTTTTCTTTTTGATCTTGAAGTATTGTTGGAATATTTCATTCTGTTTAAAAATGTTTGTAAGCCAGCCAGAGATGTGTCGTAATTGGACGGTATAAAAATACCCAAATAAATAAATAAAATGTGTATATTTAAAGAACTGATGGTTTTCATAAGCAAATCACCATTCCTGTATTCTGTCACATGCACAATTTATCTTGTCATGTGCTGGACTGCTGGCATCTACAATGTGGTAAACTTAATTTGTTATAGAAACAAATGTCACTTCTGTGCCAAATTTCAGTTTTCTAGTAAAAGTAGAAATATTTCAAGTATTCAGAGGTACATTGCATGTGTTCCTTTTTGAGGGGGAGTGGTACAAGTATTCCCTTATTAGATGTCTCTAATAATCAGGATAGTGTATCCTAAATTTCACAGTAGATCTCTTGTGGGTGTGCAAGTACTGTACATGGTTGAGACAGGGCGGACATAAATGGCCCATTTATATGGGAGAGGTATAATGTCCTAGGTAAAGCCTTATTTTAATTAGGGTGACTTACATACATACAACAAAGCATGTAAATACCTTGATAAATTTGCTACTCCCTTGTGGAAAATCAATCCCATGTATCTTTACATACATGTATATATACATACGTTGGCATGCAGGTAGCCCTGGTTGCCATTGACCATCTGCTTGACATTGGCTGGTTTGAGGTCCTTGAAGAAAATACCTAAGAATGAAAACATTTAAATAATGGCCATTTTGACAGTATTTGTACTAGGGCTTAACTCCCCCCCCCCACCAACATTGAAAAATCATTTAACAGAAACTGTATCAGCTTTTCCACAGGAACATCATAGTTTCTATAAAATTTTCCATCAGAAATCATTGTTTATTGGGCCTAGTCATGTGTACCCTCTTAAGTCCCCCTAATACAGTGGTGCCTTGTAGTTTGTATGACTTTAACTTCAAACTATTAGAGTTCAAACATTAGAGTCTAGTTAAAATTGGTCCACAGTTTGATTGATGCTTCTAAGTTTGAACTACTAAGACATCATTGGTTGTGCACCAAAGTTGGGAAAAAAAGCCTTGATGTCCAGAATTGACTTGACTTGATTTGATTTGTCAAGGTAGTTGTTTTCAAAGTGAAGGAAAATATTTTGAGGGGGATCAATGGCAATGTGTCTTTTATTGTAAGATTTTTATTTAAACATTCAACATATTTTTTAATCGTGCCTTGAATATAACCTCAAACTTAATTCATTTCAGAGACCATATTAGCTGTTTAACTTTACTACTGCATTGTTTAAGGTCTGGGAATGGATTAATTCACTTTCCATTCTTTCTAATGGGAAAAATTGATTTGGAATTCAAATGATTCAGAGTTCAAATGGCCTCTTGAAAGGAATTAAGTCTGAAGTACAAGGCACCACTGTAGAAGGAGGTTCTCAAAGTTCAACACAGCAATTCCCCTGGTCCACATAAAAATTAACTGCTGAAGGTTCCAGACCTCCCTAATTGTAATTAATGGTCGAGAGAAGGTTGGATGCAGAAGTTAACTGTTTGATATCATTCTTATTCTGGCCATGAGGCAAAGCATGATAGCAGTGGACTGCAAACTAAATCAGGTAAGTTAGCAATAGGAGATCTGGGTTGCGCTTGACAAGTAAGCTTCCTTCACCTCATTTCCACTTATTGACTGACTTCCAAATACCTTATCATGATTGACATTTCACTAATTAGATAAAAGAAAAACCTCTCCTGCAACCTCATGTCTGTGAACCTAGAATATGGTCAGTCCCATCACAGTGCAGCAAGTATAACATTTTTTAAACCAAGTCTATCAGGTAAGAGGACTCCAACCATTTTGCCAAATATATATCTAGCATCCAGTAGGCAGTATCCAATGCAACACCATAACTTACGTAAATTACCTTGGTTGGATATTGCCCAAAGTTTGTAATGCATAATATGAAGAGCAGTGGAGATCAGCAAAGCTTTAATCAATAACTATTGAAAACTGCCCTCTGCAAATATTTTTGCAACTGATTGCATGATTTATTGCAGTGCCAGAAACATGCCATAACTGTTCTCTAATGTTTGCATTGGATTATAATTGCCTTCCTGTTCTTATTTCTTTATCTAAATGAAGTTCTTCACATCTTAGAAGCATGTAGCCTAGAAGGTAATTTCCTCCATTCTGTTCTACTACAATTTCTGACATGGACCAAGAGTGCTTTCTAGAGTTCATTATCTCAGATTAAAAAAATAATAAAAAGGCAACCAGGAATTGTGAAATAACTCCTTTTTCTGAACAGATTTACAAAAACCAAAACCTGAATACTGTTTTGAAATATTGCTATGATCTTCTACTACTTAAGACTAATTTTGTTGCTAGCCTTCAGTCTTCAGGGAGCTTTGGCTGCTGGGCAGTATAGAATTAAACAGTCATAATGCAGTATGGAATCAGGTAGGAAGTTGGATTCAGAAGTAAAAACAAACCTGTTAAAGAATTTTATCCACAGATTTCTACTGAAATACTAAATAGTGCCAGGCAAGCAACCTAAGAGAGTAGTCCATAAATACTCATGCAGTGTTCTATATATTTTCATCTGTTATATGCATTAGCATTCAGCCTTGAAAATCCACTGGCTAACACACAAGACTAGAGTATGGATATGCTAGAAACTGTGTACACATTCTGCACTAGTGGTAAATTGGCCCAATTCATCTATCATGAACTGATATACAAGAATTGAACAGAGGGAGCAATGGGACCTTGTCTGTACACCATTGACTTGGTAAGGGACCATTGCCTTCACAATTTTGTGAGCTGTTTTCAGGCAAGATGTACAGCCTAACATGAATAACTGGTACCTGGGATGGTTTGGTTTGTCTTGACTCCCAATCTCTTTTCTTTTTGTGTCATTTACTTTTAGTTATAACCCTATAAATGGGCTGCCATGTTCTTTAACTTAAGTATGGCACTTAGCACATTTCAGGCACTTTATGAGTGAGAAGTCATACATAAATGTTTTTCTGGCTTGTTTTCCTATCAGAATTTAAGAGTATTTATATCAGACCTTATATGGTGAAAAGTAAAAAAGGTTCACAAAGGCATCACAAAGGTCTACATTGGACTTCTGCAACTTGTTGTCCACTATAGAGTTGGGCTACAACTCCCACAATTCCTAATGGCCATGCTGGACGGGAATTATAGGAGGTGCAGTGCAACATATCTGGAAGGCAGGTGGCTGGGATAGACTGCACTAAACCAAAGCTATCTCTGGTCTGTTAACAGACCTAAAATAGAATAGCATTCATGCTACTGTAAAAAGAACTAAACAGAATAAACGCACCCTATACAGCTGTCAGCTGCGAGGTGTTTTGGACACAGTACCCTCCTAAGTAGAGATGTTTACAGCCATTTCTGGCTATCTTAAAAGCTGGAAATGTGGGGGTCAGGAAGGTATGCAAGCATCTGGTGTCAGTGTGGGAGCCAGGGGTTCATACCTGTGTTCCAGTAACATATAAGAAGGCACCCATATGATCTGTCCATTTGCTTTGTAATGATTTATAGTGTGTTCCTTTAAATGTTGCTAAGTTTCAGAAGAACAGGGGGAATAAAAGAGGGGAGAGAGTGAGAGAGGTGATTGGTTGATGACTGAGTGTGTCAGCAGAGCTGGAAGTGTGTGCGGAGAAAGAGAGAAAAGATTATCATCAGTCAGTCAGCACTTGCAGTCAGTTGGCATCACTCAGCGGTCTGCAAAATCTGAAGAGGCAGCCTTCTCATTAGAATCGCATGCAGTGCTATGCAAGACACTTCTAAGGAAGGAAGGAAGTAGGATACTTGGAAGACATATTGGTGTCAAGGAAAAATTCAAAATCTAATATTGTGAAGTATTATAAGGGTGAGAGAGATAGAAGTTGAGAGAAACCTGAGTACAGAAGGGAAGATTAAACTGAGATTTTAAAAATATGGACTGGTCAAAGTACTTTCAGAAGAGAAAGGAGAATCTGAGATTGAGGAGTGTTTGTGACAGGAAAGAGTGGCATCCTCAGAAGTTTTTAGTATACACTGTTTTATTTGCTAAGGAAATAAATTACAGAACATCTTGGAACCAATATGCTTCTTGTACAAATAAAGTTTTATTTTGTAGGTTGTTAACCCAGAGTCATAGGCTGTTTGAATACAGGACTCAAGGCCACATAATCCAACAAATGAACCTTGTAGCTTGGGCACAATACAGTGGTAGAAGTTAATTAATAAGATTGGAATTAAATACCTGGTGGAAGCATTACATACTGAGAGAAAGAGAGGGAGATATTAAGAAAATTTAAGACATTCCATATCCAGACAAAATATAGAAGAGTACTAATGACATGATGACATGATCATGATCAAGGCTTTGCTAACATGGATGTAAGCATGGTATGGAACCAACCACACCTGACAGAAGCTGTGGTGGAAGCTGGCAGTGGCTGATTAATGGTACAAAGACATCAGCACAAGGAATGTGCTAAGCACATGGTGGTGAACTCTTGGGTTTGTTTTGTGTTTGTGTATGTTATCAGCACTTAATAGCAGGCCTTGTAGGCTAATTTCACCTTTTACAATTGGCACACAATGATGTGAATGGCGTAAGACCATTCTTGATGTAGGTATAGCTTATCTGTTAACTCCAAAGCTTGCATACTTCTTTATCAACAGATGGTCCCACAAGAGTAACCTTTCATTCTATGGGCCTTGTTGATTGTGGACATGGTCATCTGTTGTAACAATAGTTTGGTAGTTCTTAGTTGTTCACAGATACAACCACAGAGAAATTATCAATATTTTGTTTGGGTCCAGAAAGACCTGAAGCTGCCTTTCTTAGACAGTAGGATATGTACAATTCTTCACAAATGGCAAAGGACACAGTAGTGCACTGAACATCATGCATAGCTTCTTTTCTGTGCTATACTTATCCCTGTCAGGGACAGCAGGAAGCACATGTTAAGCTTCATCTGTTAAAAAAAAATCAATTTCACTAGTATAACAACATGCACAACTTACCCAGTATCACATGAAAATGTAATAACACTCTGGTAGCTGAGGCTTGTATGAAGTATTCTTCCATTGTTCATTGGTTCAGGCAATGGACAGTTTCTTGCTGGTATAACGTATGACAATGTTTTATTATTAGATGGATAAACAAGAAACAATTCCAGAGGTGAGATAATCAAACCATTCTGTAAGATCTATGGCATATTTTACTTACAACCTTCATTTATTGGAGTTCTATGCCTTCCCATTGTCAAAGCTTTCCTGGTGGGTTACCTAGAGAGCCACCTATAAGGCTTCTGCTGTGGAGTAGTATAGAAATGTGAATAATAATAATATAGCAGGACCCCATATTTTCTAGGAATAGGTTCCAAGCTCCCCCCCCAGTGCATGACTGAAACCCTAGATAGTATTAAACACTACATTTGCAGGGGTTAGGGGTGCAGGACCCCCACAAAAGTGAAAAAATCACACAGATATCTCTAGGAAACGACACACTCTGTTTGGGGATGCCATGCTCTTTGACTTGGTACTAGTACAATGTTTTGTCTCTCAATGAGCATGAAGAATCTAGAGGTATTAACAGTTTTTCTGTAGAGATATTTGTGGTTTTTGCACTTTCCTGGGGGTCCTGTGCCTCAAACCCCCATGAAAGTGGAAAGCCAATAGTCAACCTTGATTAAGTGAAACCATGGTAAATAAGACAGCAGATACAGGGGTCCTGCTGCTGTAGTAGTAGAAATAGTAATAACAATAATATTAATAATTAATTAAAACATACTATAGTATAAACAGCCATGTATGTACAAACATGTAAATATGCTTGTTTACAAGTAACTTGGAGGACAGTCTGTCAGCCAATGAACCCAAATTTGTAGGTACGTGGAGACTATATTAATTTTTTGACAGTCAAGGATTCCTCCACAGCACTGGTGACTAACTTACTTCATATTGTTTAGGAAAATCCTTTCACACATCCCTTTTCTATGTTCCATATCCATTTTCTTAAACAGGCTAACTGGAGCTCTGTGGCAACATCATGTCTGGCAGGGGGCATCGCTCAGTACTCAGGCTGAGCACCAGCATTGCATACAGAAGGGCCTAGCTTGAAGGTGGAGCCTCTCCAGTTAAGAAGCCAAGGGAAAGATTCTGTGCTGACAGAGAACAATAATAACCTAGACAGACAAATAGGATGATGTGGAATCAGGCAGCTTTCTGGTCCTAAAGGGTTTCCTTGATGGAACTTGCCATGCGGAAGATGCTCTGGCAGGCATGATTTCAAACCCTTATTTCGGAGGAGAAAGAGTGATAGTGTTTCTTCACATGGCCAGCTGATCTAGAGCAGGCTGGGGGATGGAAGCAGCTGCCTTGGGAAATAGTTTAAAGTCTTGTCACTTAAGCTTAGCACTAAGAACAAGGGAATTAGACTAGCTAACCTAAGGCCTGGATTGTGCAAGCTAAAAGTGACTGTGGCATTGAAAACACTTTGCTGTGGTCTAGTTTTAAAAAGACACGTTGAATGTTTTTAGTCTTCAGTCTCCTCCTGAAATGTTTCCTGATGACGCTTTTCACAGCTTTGTGGCAGGCAGAAACCAATAGTTATAGCTTTTCCCATCTTTGTAAGAAAAACTGTGATTTTATGTAAGCAGAATCCTTTGGTTCTGGAACGCTTGGATGTTTCTCAGTTTGCAGTGAAGCCTGTGGATGTGGATGGGATTCCTGAAGAGGTGAAACCAACTATTACCCCTACAATTCCCAACTTTTAAGGCAGCTAGAGATGGCTGTAAACATCTCTCCTCAGAAGGGTATTGGGAAGGAGGAGGTGATAATGACCATTGCCTGAAACATATTCTCTGGCCCTCTCTGAATGGGATAATTTCTGGCTAGTTTCTCATATCCCTTTCTTAGGAAAAGATGGTGCTTTTGCTCCTCAGCTCCAGGCTTCCATGGCAGGATGCAATTCAGTTTAGAGAAGAGAGGCCTGTTTACATGGCCTGTTTAGAGGACAGAGACAGCTTTTGCACAGCCTTCCCTGACTTGGTGCCCTTCAGATGTTTTGGACTTCTGCCAGCCCCAGGATAGATAACCAATGGGGGAATGCTTGGAGTTGTAGTCCAAAACACCTGGTAGCCACAACACCTGGAGGGCACCAGGTTTGTGAAGGCTGCCTTAAGGGATGGCCTTTGCTGAGAACAGGACAGGGTGAGTTTTCCCCTTTTCCATCTGTTTAAGTTACCATGTGCCACAGTGTACTTCTGAATGGCTTGGCTGGGTTGGGACAAAGGTCCTTTCTTTAGAGGTGATTAAGGGCCTTCCTTTGAGGTTGGGGCTTGAAAGTGCCTGCTGGCTTTCAGGTTTTGGTGATGTTGCGACCAAACTTTGGTGGGGTATGGTAGCACATGCCCTGGGAGTTTTGGAGAGTTGAATACGGCCTCTGAACCTTGCAAAGGTGCCCAGCCTTGCCTTAAATGCTGCAGTAGCTGCTGCCGCCACCACCACAATGGCTTTTTCGACTGCCGCACATATGTCTGACTCAGTTTTTTATCTGCACATCATCTTGCCATAGGTTAAGTTAAAAGCATGAAATGTGACTTTCCCTAAGACAGTATAATTGGCACCCTGGGTGACATTATATCTGTACTGATATCCAGATGTTCACTGCGCAAGCAATGCAAATCAAATGTTTATTGCCACTGACCCATGGCAAAGCCACACTTCAAACCAGCCCTAAAATGTTGGTAAAGCAACCCTGTCACCTCAGGGGTAGGGTGGATGATTTGATTCTTCTGGTATTGCTGAGGGAGGGGAGGAAAGCAGAAGGGGCACCTCGATTAATGTGGGCAATTCAGCAGAATTAAAGAGGAGAACTTACAAAGATGAAAGCCATGATTGCATTTAAAAAGCAGAAACAGAAGCAAAACCCATCAGATCACTGTCTCAGGCTATGTTGAGCTGGAAGCAACAACAGGGGCAGTAGGAAGAATCTGCTTACGTGTGCATCTCAGTGTGATGGCAGGCCATCGGCCACGTATTGGGCATGTGTATCTCATGTTGCCCGACTGAGGAACATAGCCAGGATTACAGCTGTACGAAATTTCTTCTCCAATGCTGTATTCTGCCTTGTTTATGTCAGCAGTAGCCAGTGGGATTTCAGGTGGCCTGGGACAGACTGGAAGATACAGAACAGATCTTGTGGGCATGAAAACAGGTCTTGTAGGCATGAAAAACAGCACTGCTTTCACAGGCATTGCTGTTCTCTGGTGTTATTGAAGCAACAATATAAACAGGTAATAAGTGTCATTACTTTGTCTTCGCTGATGCCATCAAGCAACACAGTGATCCAAAGACAGAGAATGATACAAGATTGTGATTCAGTTTGTCCTGCATCATTCATTCAAAGTATATTTGGATGAGAGCCAGTGTGGTGTAGTGGTTAAGAGCATGGGACTGGGACTCAGATGATTGGGGTTCTAGTCCCCACTCGGCCATGGAGCCAACTGGGTGACTTTGGGCCAGTCACAGACTCTCAGCCCAACCTACCTCACAGGGTTGTTGTTGTGGGGATAAGATGGAGGGGGAGATATAAGCTGCCTTGAGCCCTTTGTAGGAAAAAGGCGGGATATAAATCGATAAATAAATAAATATTTGCAACAGTTGACTTGTAGGCTTTTAACAGTCGTTGCTGGAGAAATACTTCCTTCCTCCTGGCACAATTCAGGTTGGATGAGCTCAACTGCAGGAAGGTTTGTTAGAAGGAAAACTGCAGGCAGGAAGCAGAATTGTTTCCAGAACCCACAAGGCATTATGGAATGTGTTAAGGGGATAATGCGATCCAGCAAGGGTGCCACCCAATGCTCCCGGCCTGCAGTGCACTTGAGCCTCTGAATTTGGAGGCTCACACCTATCCTGTGCACAAAGCAAGTCAACAGTGGTGGTCTCCACTGCTACAGCTTGAGCTGTGTCTTTCACCTAAATGGCCATTTTGGCCATCTGTGTGGAGTACTAGGGAGGGCAGGGAAGGAACTGCGAGTGCATCTATCTTTAAAATGTTTGTGAAGAGTCGACATCCAAGCATCCAAATCAACCAAGTTCAGGCCATTCTGGCAGGCAAGCCACTCCCCCACCATGTTGTTTTTCATAGCACTGAAACCTGACCCACTTCTTGGGCTTGCAGAGGGAGGATATGGGGGGGGGGGACACGAGCGGGGGGGGCGGAATCCCAGCATGAAAGATAAGGACATGAGCTTGTCCTTATGCCTTTAACTCCCTGGGAATTACTCCCACCCCAGCAATAGCACCAGGGCAGGATCAGAAAAATGGTGAGGGGTGGGGAGAATTGCCATGTTCCCAATCCAAATAGCTGCCCCCACCTCCGCTATTTGCCAATGCTGCAAAAAGCTGGTGAGGCCTTTACATGGCTTACATTTTGGCCTCATTTACAGGAGCAGAAGGGAATTTTTAGTCATGTTTTAGATTCTGCACATCTCTCCCACAGATCAATAATAATAATAATAATAATAATAATAATAATAATAATAATAAATCTGAGGTGATGTGAGTCCGATGCTCGCCTTTGAACAAGAAGGTTCAAAGGAGAAGGTTGCTGGGCCACTTTCTTTGGCTTTGCCCCTACAGTCTGGGGTAAGAACCTCTGCATATGTTCCTGTTGCACGGAAGAGCTAACAAGTAGGCAGGCGCATGCAGAGCTTGGTTCACATGCCATGCACTCCAGTGCTGGAGCAGGGGAGGGCACAGCCTTTGTGCATGTAATAAACAATGTATTTAAGGAAGTGATCCATTTGGTTCTTTTCCAGGACTCAAGGCAGTGTACAATGAAATAGTGAAACAGGTTCAACAAGCCAGCCAAAAACTTCCCATAAAAATTGTCCATTGCCCAGGGAATCTAGGAAACAACAGACCAGTCTGCCTGTGAGATAGCACAACGTCGTCTTGTCCTGTTAAAAATGGGTGGACAGGCCTCAGGCTGGCTGGATTTACTTTTCTGCAATCCACCCTGAGGTTCGCCAGCATGATTAATGAATTCTAGACCATTGTTTTGATTTTGAGTCCCAGAACTGTGCACAAAGTCCTTCTCTACAAATATCCATTCCTGATCACACACCGCACTCTGTTTCTTCATTCAGAGGCATCCATTTTAGGGAAATGATTTTGTCGTTGCTAATGTTAGATAATCAGGATTCAGAAATCTTTGCCAGTCTATTCCAGATCACCCAGAGTGCTCCCAAGAGATCCAGATCAAGATTCTGCTCATCCTGTTGTGGAAAAAATAGAGACACTTACCATTAGCAGCAAGAGTGGTCTGGGCAAGGACAACAATCCATAGGATGAGTAGGACAGGAGACATTGCTGTTGAACTGCAGAGGGCCAAAATGAGCTCCAGCTCTGGAGTGTTCCTAAAATAAACAGTCCAGAAAGGCTAAATTTTAACTGCATGTTAGATTCTTGTAAACAAAGGGGAGAACAGAAAGAAAAGTGTGTGGCAAGAGAGATTCCGGTAAGTGCTAGATAAGCAGACTGAACCAACGGTCATGCAGTGCTTACCTACCACTGCAGCTTGAAGGTCTCATCCCATTTGGAAATCTTTTGTACTCCAGGATGTTCTGGACAGAATGCCTCACTGCTCTGTCTTTATCAGATGTGGAAGCGGGGGAAGGTGTTGAGTAAGATGAACTCTCCATATAATTTGCTGTTTCTTCCTGCTCACATTTTAAGACTTGTACTTTGGGTAGAATCAATTAATTACTTTGGAAATTTTATACCTGCCAGACACTGGTCCCCCGCCTGCCCCCCTCTGGAGAGATTTTAATATATGTGTGTGTGTGTGTGTGTGTGTGTGTGTGTGTGTGTGTGAAATTAAGGTGGCAATCCTATACTTACTTCATTCAAAATTATTATCTCTGAATAAATAGGCATAGCACTGCCCTGTAAATGTTGCACAGATAAGCTTTTAAATAAATACATAAATGTCAGAATGAATATATTGTAGGAAAATGTATACAGTATAACAAAAAGTGCATTAGTCAGATGTAGTCCCACTAAATTGAATGAGCTTACTCCCAGGTAACATACAAATAATTTTTGTATACAATAGTGGCCCGTACTTGACTTGTTTACTTGGAAACCATACCCAGCCATTTCAGTAGAATCTGCTTCTATCAATACCTACACAGAAGGAAATCCTATTTATTTTGGTGGGACTCTTCAGCCACTAGCTTTCATTTCATCGCAGTTGGTTTAATGTAATGTTTGGGTCATGTTTAATTCAGGAGTAGCCAACATGAAGTATAGCAAGCAGCCTGTGGCCCAGGCTTCAGTGCTGTGAAAAACAACCCTGAGGGGAAGTGGATTGCATACCAGAATGAGTTTAGTTTGCTCACTCTGGATCCCTGGATGATTTTAAAAGGGAGCAGCTGCATGTCCTTCCAGAAGGTCTCCTTTCATCTTTACTTCTATGGGCAGGCCTTGTGGAGCAACCCTGAGCTTGCTTACCTGGGAGTAAGAATGACTGTGCATGAGTTTGGGGTGTCAGAGAAATCTGTCCTGGATTCAAACGAGCTTGGATTACTACAATTTGCACCCATATATTCCACAGTGGACCAGCTTTTTTCAAGTCATGAGTATTCTGCTGCCCAAAGTCATATACTTTCTTGAGTTTTTTGCTTAGAGGATGCAATTTGGGTGAATTCACGTTGGTTAATGCACACTTGCCATTAGTGCAAGTAGAATGACATTCTGGTTTTAAAAAATTAAAAATAATCCAGTTGCATCTATGAGCAGGTGACAGAATTCAGGAGGTCTGTCAGTGTGCAGCACTGGGGGGGGTGGGGGGGGCAGATGCAACCAAGTCCATGCAACTCAAATGTGAGAGGATATCCTTGTGGCCATAGATTTAGCAGTCAAACATCTGGCCCTTTCTGTTTCTGGAGACAACCTCTCTTGGCAACTGGTCCCACTGTCGTATTGCTCTGACAGTGAGGAAACATTTGGTGACGGCCAGCCTGAATCTGGTACGCTGAAGTTTAAGTTTGTTGTTCTGTGTCCTACACTCAGAGATGAGTGAGAAGAGGCCTTTTCCTTGCTCTCTGTGACAGCCTTTAAGCTACTTGCAGAGGCTATCATATCCCCTCATAGCCTTCTCTTCTCAAGGCTGAACATGCCCAACTCTCTCAGCCTCTCACCACAGGGCTTAGTTTCCAAACCTTGGATCATCTTTGTTGCCCTCGTCTGAACCTTTCTAGCTTTCTGCATCTTTTTAAAACCTTGCTGCCTAGAATGGAACAATGTATTCCATATGAGGAGTTGTACTCCAACTTACATGAGCCCCAACCAGCATGCCCAATGGATGGGAATTATTTATTATTTATTTAAAACGTGTATATGCCGTCACTGCCGTCGCTGCATGCTTTGGCATCTTGGGACTGCTCACAAATGTACAATTAAAAAATGCAACAATAACAAATTCCATAAAATTATATAAAAACAAAAAAGTGACTGTTAATGATAAAATATTAATTTTTAAAATAGCAATTAAATAAAAAGGTTTTAACCTGGTGCCGAAAAGAATATAAACTCAGTGCCAGGCACACCTCTCCAGGGAGCGCATTCCATAATCTGGGCTCCACCGCTGAGAAGGCCCTGCTCCGGGGAGTTGTTCTTTTTATCTCCTTTAAAGAGGGCTCCCGGAGCAAAGCCTCTCCTGTGGATCTTAAGGGGCGTGAGGGCATGTAGGGGAAGTCGTCAACAGCTGGAGGACAACTGGCTCCTCTTAGCTGGTTTAAAGTCAGTGCCACCCATATTGTTGTAAACTGCCCAGAGAGCTTTGTTGATATAGAAATGGATGAATTAACTAGTCAGCCGAGGTGCAGGGGCAGGCACCCCCGACTGCTCTGCCTTAGCCAGGAAAGTGCCTCGGGCCAGCCCTGCCTGCAGTGTACCTCCAGGTCTGTTCTCTCTCCTGCTTTCGTTAGGACACAAAGTCCAGGACTTGCGCAGCACATGTTGCAATGGAGGGGCATAAAGTGCAACGCAAGAGAACACGGTGATGCCACAGTAGTAGCAGAAGCGAGGGTGGTGCCGCAGTCCAGGCGGGTGGCGGGGAGAGAAGAGCAGTCTGGTAGAGCTAGTATGGGCTCCTTTTTCTTCTCGGGGCTCCTGCTTCTCCAATCACAATGGGGCAGGCAGGAACGCGGCAGGGGATCCCGCACTGCATCCCCACGCTGCAGAAGGCCCAGCTGGGCAATGCTGGGGAGATCGGGAGAGGAGAGGCGCCTGTGCCGGTGAGTGGGGAGCTCCGCTTCCTATGCTCTACCGGGGTCACACCGGCCAGGTCAGGGGTGGGGCTTTTCCTTTGTGTAATTGCTTTTCTCTCTCCTCAGCATGCCATTTGGTTCCCGTGGGAGGAAAAAACACTGAACCACTTTTGAAGCTTCCACGACATCTTGTGGAAGTGATTTCCATAGCTTAACTATGAGCTGCGTTGAGAAGGCCTTCCTGAATCTCCCACTAATTAGCTTCATGGGATGATTCCAAGATCTAATATTTTGAGAGGGTTTCCACTTTCCACTCAAGATCTAGTATCTTGAGAGGTTTTCCCAGGTGCTTCCTCACAGAGGAGTTGCTCCAGCCCTTTGATCATTTTGGTTGCCCTTCCTGCCACTTTTCTCAACTCTACAATATCTTTCTAAGGTGCAGTGACCAGAATGGCCACTTTTTTCTAAGTGAGGTCACACCATAGAGTGCTGTAAAGGTGGTAGAATATTGGCAGTTTAATTTTCAATTTGTTTTCTATTTTACGTCCAACCTGGATTTTCTTTGCAAAGCAGCCACTCACTGAGCAAGTTCACCATCATGGCAGCCTGCCCTGGCAATAAGCCATGATGGTTGGTTGTTGCACCACAACCCAGGCTGAGCCCGCCTCTCACTTCTTTCCTTGCCTGTCCTTCCATGGGTAGCCCAGGGGACTCCACAGCAGGACCTATTTGTCTGCCTGCTCCTCTCCACAATTGCAAGCCCTCTTGGTCTTGCTGTGGCGTTTCTGACCCTTCACACTTTTTCCTTTTTTTGGAGATGGTGAAAAATGATCTCCAGTTTGACAGCTAGTGGCAGTTTCTTTAAAGTGCTCAAGTGACACATCGCAGGGGCCCTGGTTTGGCATCTGATGTTTTTATACAACCCTTCTGGCTAACTTGTTTTTTAAGTTAAAAACATTGCACAAATTTAGAGTGCATTTTTGTGATGAACTGGGGCAGCAAATTCAAGGTTTTGCTTGGGCACTTTGAAGGAGCTTTCACTAGCTGTCCAATGGGAGATCACTTTTCACTTTCTTCAAGAGAAGAAAAGGGTCTAAAGGCAGGCAAGAAAACCACAATGAGCACAAAAGGACTTGCAGTTACAGTTGGGGTGCAGAGCTAGTGCCATTCACCCCAAAATGTAACGTGGGCACTTAAGGGGCAGTTGGCACTGGTGGTGACCTGGCAAGTGTGGCAGAAGCAGCAGGAGGGGTTCACTGCTCCAGGCAAGTGGCCAGCGGTTGCTCCTGGTACCTGGAATGGTGTCAGTCACCTGGAATGAGATGATAGGACAGAGCATCATGGATACAGCACCTCCTAGTACAAGCCTTGGGTTGTCAGGGTGGCATGCTGCCTTCAAACAAGCCGCCCTATTAGAAACGATCCATGTTTGCACAACATGGTGGCCCACCATGGATGGTCACTCCTGATGGTTGTTGTGTCACGTGAACCAATCCCAGTCGCTGGACATGTTCACTGAGCAGTCTACCAAGGTCCTCCATCTTTGTCTGGTCAGTCACTCCCAGCTTACATCCCATCAATATAGATGTGAAGGGGGGGTTGTTTGTTTTTTGTTCCCATTGTACAGTATTTTGCACTTGCTTATATTGTACTTCCTTTGCCATTTTAATCCCAGTTGTCCCAGCCCAGGTGGGTTTCCCACCTCCTTTATTTGCATTTGAAGTACAAATTTTACAGGAATATTGAACTGCTAGTAATGCATTAATTTGTTCTGGATTGATAGTACTTTTGAGCAAGTTCTGTGCTTTGACTCATATTTCATTGGCAAAATGCTATCACCCCTTCCCTACATATCCACATATAAGCCTTTGAGCTAAGAGGCCTGCATGCATCTCTAACCCTAACTAGCACCCAATGACTAAGCAATGATAATCTTGCTTTGCCCCATGCATTTTATCCGCACCTCTATTTTTGGCTATCTAGATAGTGCCAGGGATGGGGAGGCAAGGTGTCTGAGGCACTAACAGGGCCTGGCATGGGTAGATGGCCCCAGCTTCCTCTCCTTCTTGCCTCCTGCCACACTCCCCTTCCCCTCTCCAAAGTGCATTTCCACACTGGAGAGGCAGCCATCACTGGTTT